ATTGCTGAAGACAAAGCGGGTACATATGCAAATGCGGTGAAGAAAGCTGATTGTGCCAAGCTGTCAAATTACACAGAATCTGGGGTCCCACATGCTGGAAGATAAACAAGGGGCCATCTAACTGAGAAACAACAAAGCCCACATGGAAGAAGAAGCACACCAGCCTATAAGATGACAAGGCGGCGAAAGGGTCAGGTATCAGGCATCAAAGACCAAAAAAAAAAAAAATCATAACATTGTGAATGAGGGGGAGTGCAGAGTAGGGATCCAGGGCCCATATGGGGGAAATTGGACATCGCCTTGCAGGGAGGTGAGGAGCAAATCAGAGTGCAGTGTAGTAACGATGAAATATACAATTTTCCTCTAGTTCTTAAATGCTTCCTCCCCCCACTACTATAATCCCAATTCTACCTTATATATTCGGCTGGACCAGAGGAGGTGCACTGGCACAGATAGGAACTGGAAATACAGAGAACCCAGAACAGATGAACCCCCCAGCACCAGTGGAGAAAGTGGCAATGGCGGGAGGGTGGAGGGAAGGAGAGGGAGAAAGGGGGAACAGAGGACAAAGTCTACATGTGGTCTCCTCCCTGGGGGACAGACACAGAGAAGTGAGTGAGGGAGACGTGGGATGGGGTAAGATATGATAAAATAATAATAAATTATAAATCGGGAGGAGGGGGGAGTGGGGAGGGAGGGGGAAAATGAGCTGACACCAGGGGCTCAAGTGGAAAGTGGGTGTCGTAAGAATGATGAAGTCAACATATGTACTAAAGTGCTAGGCACAGATGACATATGTACAGATTGTGATGAGTTGTATGAGCCCCTAATAAAATGATTATTAATAAGAAAAAAAATTTGGACATTGAACAAGGACGACCAAAGAAGAATCGACACATTTCAACTATGGTTCTGGTTAAGAATACTGAAGATATCATGGGTTGCTAAAAGAAGAACAAAGAAAAGTCTGCCTTTGAAGAAGTAAAGCTAAAATGCTCCTTAGAGGAAAGGATGGTGGGTCTTAATCTCATCTACTTTGGCCATTGTATCAGGAGAAAACAGACCCTGGAAAAGGACCTCATGCTTGGTAAAGGAGTTGGTAATGAAAAAGAGAAAGACACTCGACCTCAGTGGTTCTCAACCTGTGGGGTGCGACCCCTTGAGGGGTCGAACAACCTCTTTACAGGGGTCGCCTAAGACTGTCGGAGAACACATATTTCCGATGGTCTTAGGAACCAAGACACCGCTCCTCTATCCATCTCCTGGCGGGCCCGCCCACATGCAGATGCACCCACATACAAGTACCCGGTGTGAAGACTGTTACCCATGCTACACCATGCTTCAAGACAAAATTTCATTGATTTGTCATTAGAAATCAATATTTCACAATATGTACTTACATATCATTTTTGTGATTAATCACTATGCTTTAATTATGTTCAATTTGCAACAATGAAAATACATCCTACATATCAGATATTTACATGATGATTCATAACAGTAGCAAAATGACAGATATGAAGTAGCAACACAAATAAATGTATGGTTTGGGGTCACCACAACATGAGGAACTGTATGAAAGGGCAGCAGCATTAGGAAGGTTGAGAAGCACCGCTCTGCATGATGGATCATCACAGTGGCTACACCATGAGTTCAAAAGAAGAACAATTCTGAGGATGGCACCCGACCTGGTAGTGCTTCGTTCTGTTGCTCATAGTATCGCTCTAAGTCGGAACGCACTCTATGGCACCTAACAACAATTTAAAATTATAATTAATAATAATGAATTCACATAATTTTATCCCTTGTAGTCATTCCTGAGAGCCAAGGAAATTCCCTAAATTAGTTGAAAAAGAAACAAATGCTTTTGGGGGATAAAATACTATCCAATGCCACGCAAGTCAGTGGATTTTAGATTCGTTTAACTTTGGGTTTAATATTGGAAAAGCTGAGGCCATTTTATTATGCAAAAACTAGATTAAATAAAGAGTTCAAATTTTCCATGAAGGAGGATATCAGACCCTATAGTAAACTTGTTCAAGAGGATCGAGGTTCAAGGGTACAGACAGAAAGAAGAAATTCAGAACAGGACCAGTCATGGCCTGAAGGAGCGCCACAGCAGAGAGGTCTCCTTTGCACGGACTAATGCAGTTCTCCAGTCCGCCGCATCAGCAGGGAATGTGAGGGTAAAACGAGTTCTGTGGGTCTCCATTATCATTAAGACGCTAAACAATTTCAGGCAGAACCCGCAGGAAAAACCAAGGGCAGCCCAGAGCCAAGATTTTTCCCACTAGACAACCCTGTCTCCAGTCATTACCCCAAATGTAGCTCTTAAAAGTATGCATGATTCCGCACTGTAGAAGGTCACAATTGAATCTCAGCAAAATTCCTTTTAGCATAGTTTCCCATGATACAAATAAAATGAAAAGTTCTCTTAGTAGCGTTACTCAGATAAGAAATAAAGCATATAGGGACAAAGAATGAGAAAGCAGCTATTGGAGCTTTATGGAGTATCTTGCCTGTCATTTCTCAGAGTCTGGACAACGCATGGGCACGTGCTAATTTCTAGGAGAAATTAGCCATACAAATGATGCATGTCCCCATTGGTGAATACTCATATTCAAATGTGTAAGACACTTTAAATATATATGTAATTGACTTTTCTCTATCCATGCTTAATTATACATGAAGTTAGAAAATTATTTTGAAAGCATTGCATGTATCCAACATATAGATATCATGCTTTCAATGTGATCTCAGTAATTTTGTGCTGCATGAACATTTAAAAAACAAAGATGAAACTTTCAGAACATAGGAATGATAGTAAAAAATTAAAAAAACATCTTATAGCTATTTGTTAGAAAATAACCTTCCTTAAAATAATAAATTTATAATTACTACTATTAGACACCAAAAGATGTTCAATAAATATAAATCCGTATTCAAAAATATTTATGGAGCACTTACTCTGTGCATGTTTTTGAACAAGGACTTGGAAGTAAAAGATAAATAAGACCCATCTCTAACCTCGTGGAGTTCCTGAAGGGAAAACGTCTTCGTACCCAACCCCAGCACACACACTGCACAATCAGTTTGAATACAAACCGGCTGTAAGTGTCCTGCAAATACAGAATCATTAGGACAAGACTCGCCTAGGGAGACCAAGGAGGGAGATGTGACCTTGTCTGACAATGGAAGTGAAGGGACCCAGGAGGCCATGGCAGAGTTCATGGCCTTTACTGAGTGTCTCAGTTCCGAGGGAAGGGTCAATCAAGGATTCAATAACTGGTTGACCCCATAATCTTTGTGATCTTACTTACTAATGAAATGTCTTTCTGGACAAATTCATATTTTCCTTACTTGTAACTCTGAATTGTTTTTTAGTTAATGTTACATTTTCTTGATTACCTAAATAACACAACCTCATTGTAAAATAATGTAGTTATATAAAAAAATACATGAAATAAAATAAACAACTAAAATCTTATCATGATATTTGGGGATGTGGCTAAGTTTTGATGTATGTATTTATGCATATATAACATATAATTGTGTTGCTTATTGATATAAACATCATATATTTAACAGGCACTCCTTTCTGTAAAATTTATTTCTCTACCTCTCTTCCTACATTTTATTCTACAACATCAATACCAGTATTACGTTTTATATATTCTGCATTAATATGTATCATTTTGTTTTGCTGTGCATATTAATAAATATTTTAAATTTTGTACATTAAGCTTTAACATTACATCCAAAGATTTCGAAAGTGGAATATGAATTCTTCTTACTATATATTCTTTTAATCCTATACCTTTCTCCATACACTTTATTCATATATGCTATTTTCTTTTATACACCCTATGGAGAGAGGCACACACATTGTATGTTGGTATTTTATTTACAATAAAAAGGTTTTATTATATATAAATTTATTATAATAAAAATTATAGAAAGGGTTTATATTCTGTTGTGCTCACTTTACACCAGTTTATGGAAAACCCTTTATGAAGCAAGCTGAAGAGCAAGCTGTTATTTGCAAATTTTAATAGGCATGAGAACTCTAGAGCATTTCGTTAGAAAGTGGAGGGGTTCTGATTCAATTATTCTCAGGCAAGGGTGGGATTTTGCATTTTTGACAAGCTCTCAGGTTGATGCCCAGTTGTTCTGTTGACCACACTTTTGGTATTCATAGCAGGGATCCACCTTACTCTTTGTCATGGTTTATTGACATTTCATTTTTCAATTTATGCGACATCCTCTTACTGCGAGTCTTCACTTTGTTTCCAGGACTTTCATGCCACACAAATTGACTAAGTTTTCTTTATTGTCATGCCTACATGCTTTAAAACTCATCCATGACTATTGGCTACCTCTTAACAGCACAGGGAGCAATGGTACAAAAATGCTGCTATCAGCATAACATATGTACTTTGCATCCAACAGAATTGTCATTTGTTAGGTCCCTTAAACAGTGTAGTCCTTGATGTCAATGTTCCACCACTGCCATCACTGCTCTCAGTGTCATGCCAGGGACTTCTCTAGACCGATCATGAAGTAACTGCCCTGGAATCGGTGCTTCTGGTTCTGGTGGTACCTCGTTACCATCCACCATTGCGAAGCATTAAAAAGCTTTAAAAAGTCAAAGTTAGTACTTACAGAAACTATTTTGACAAATTGGTCATTCTAAGCTTGTAAGATCTTATTTTCATAAATTTTTAAAATTAATTTTATGATATATTTAATTCTTATTTATATTCAGTTATTTCTAATACTGGATAACCCTTTCTGTCATTTATTGTCTAGTACAATTTCCTACTGCTAAGATTATGAATGCCCATAGTGAAGAATTTTCCTTAAAATGTGTAATCAGGACAGACAGTTATGAATTTAGCATTTTTTGGATTTTTATGTGAATGGCTTTTCTGCTCTTCAGAAGTAATGGCATATAATGGTAAACTGACAATAATGTACAGCCAGTGTTTTTTGTTTAACAGGTCCAGAACATGTCCCAGTCTATTGAAGTTTTAAACTTGAGAACACAGAGAGATTTTCAGTATGTTTTAAAAATGGAAACCCAAATGAAAGGGCTGAAGGCCAAGTTTCGGCAGATTGAAGATGATCGGAAGACACTAATGACCAAGCATTTTCAAGTAGGTTTGACTTCTGCAATCTTGTCAATCCAAATGAGGCCCTGTTACAATGGAGAGTCAGCATGGCACTCAGCTAGAAATAAGTGTGTGCTGCCCTGTTCATGCAAGGTCACAGACTCACTGGGGATGCCAATCATCTATCCACTGAAACTGACCGCTAGCTGGTAGGAGTGCATAGAGGACTTGCTATAAATGGATCCCCATCCTGCAAGAGCAAGGTGGAAGTTTGTGTAGGCTCTTCCAAGCGAACATCCAAGGGAAATCAATAATTTAGTCATTAAAGTTTTTCTGATGATTTTACATCTTGGTGATATAAGGAGAAATATAGAAGTCATAAGTCATTAAAATGTGCAATAACACCACTAATACCAACATGTAAATACAGGGCTGTTTCACAATTTCATATTAAAAATTCTGTTTTTAGAATTAGATTTTAAGCAGTCTGAAAACAATGAAAATAGGTAAATATTACTATTAACATATTATGTGGACTTTCGTTAATTATGCATGACATTGTCAAGGATGGAAAAAAAATGCCCCTTAAATGTCATTTGAACCTTGATGAAAAAGAAAAAAATCTGCCTTGCAAAGGCATAGAACTTTATACTTTATAAATCATGCTGCGGCTGGCCACTTAATGCCCTCTGCTTTCTGTGCCAATTAGGAAGCAAAATTCACTGTTGATGGTGGGAAGGGGCCCTGAGTTCCAGCATTTGGTCATGGATTATAATGTACAGTAAGGAAGGAACTGTGCAAAGCATCTGTGTATAGAACATTTTAAACTCATTTTTTTAGGTTAGTCATTATGTACTAAGCGCATACATGAACACAGGGCAGTGTTAGGCCATCAGCTACACAATATCTTTTCTCTCAAAGACACAAATAGACATGTGAAGTTGATATTAAATACAAGCATAGACATTACCTTAGACGACAAGGAGGCTCTGGGATGTACAAGCATTTAGCCTACTTGATTACTAACAGACAATTTGGTGACTTGTGTCCAAGGAGAGGTGCCTCAGCAGAAAGGCCTGGTGGTCTCCTTACCAAACATCAGCTATTGAAAACCTATGGAAGCATGGTGCTGCTCTGACACACGTGGGATCTTCTTGATTTGATCAGAATTGACTTCCTATCAGGTGTTTTTTGAGCATACAGACACACATGAAAAGAAGAATTAATTTTATCTAGAGAAAGTATGGGGATAGATTACAAGATTGGACAATATTCAAGAAAGCAGTTTTGTATTCGTGCCCCCCCCCGCTGAAAAAAAACCTGACAAACAAACACTATTTTATAAACATTTGAGAAGAGGGTTAGGATAAATATTTTAGGACCATGTGGGTTCAATGCTGAAGACATCAAAGACATAGAATGTGGAAGCGAGCCCTTTGGGCGACTGGAACGCATTTCCAGGAGGATGAGGTGCTGGGGCAGTGAGGGAGACTGCTGAGAGTGTCTGCGCAGCAACCTGTAAGTCCACCAAGCCCAGCTGGGTGCTGCAATAAGTACAATGTGAAGCAGAGGACAGCTTGCGAGGTCAGTGCAGGCAAGGCTGAGAACACAGGATGAAGCATGTACACCTATGAAAACTCTTGAGAAGAACCAGAAATACAAGGGAAACAAAGCCAGGTGGAGTGAGAACCAAGAAAGTAACGTGCCAGTTACATACCTTTCCCTAGCAGCAGTCAGGCTCCCAATAGGAAAACTTATTTTCAGTATCACCATGTGAAACAATTTTTTGGATTTACCTAGTACATAAAATCTAAGCTAGGAAAGTAAATTCTGAAACTATATTTCAAAACCCAGATAATAATACAAGTAGCTAATTTTTTATGTATTTATACATAGCTCAGTCCACTTCTGATCATTTTATATATACTTACTAAATTATTAAACAATAATCAAAGGTAGTACTATTTTTACTCCAATACAGCATCAGGAAAAAGAGACTGATGGACAAAGAGTTTGTCATTACTAACCATCATATATAAGCTAATATGTGACACAGCCAAAACTGAAACCTAGAAATTTCATCTCCATAGTTACCATCCATAATCCCAGTGTGGCACTCTCTCCAAGTAGACTTTAACTCTATGAATTAAATATATAATATGATATATATAATAGCTTGATTATTTTCAAATAATCATAAAAAATGACCTCTCTTTTTATGTTATGTCATGTATATACACATATATGCACAAATATGTATATAACTAATTATATAATAAATATCTGTTGAATTCATTATTCCTGAAATCCCACCATGAATTAGATTTTGTGCTAGATACTTGGTCTATTTAAGAAGAAGAAATGGAACATCAAAAAATAACCTTGGTGTTGAGAAATACTTTTATATCCAAAGAAAATCCTCCTCTGGTTCACAGTTTTTATTTCATCAACACCATAAAGCAGGTTTTGTTTTCGATGCCTTTTAAAAGCTTTGTCATCCTTACATAAAGTGATCCATGTTGTGCAAGTTATTACAAGTCTACCTTATTAAATCAAGTCACATACTAGAAAATGAAATTATAAAGGGAAGTAGCAAGCAAGATCTGTGCCATCCTACATTAACCTTTTAAGTACTTTATATGTGCCCTGGCTGAACTTTCCAGCAACTTTCTAGCAAGTTGCCAGAATTTCAAGAATGATCACCAATTATTAAATTGCAAACTTTTTAAAAGATTCATTCCAGGGAGGAAAGAAACACCCAAATTTGATGTCCGGTTGCTCTTTTTTTTTAATGTACCCACAACAAACATAAAACAAACAGTTTTGATGGAATAGATTCTGACTCATGTGAGGGGACAAGTTTCAGAGTAGAGCTGCAACTCCTATCTGGGGTGGTCAATAGCCATGAACTTTCCACAGCAGAATGCCAAGACTTTGTTCCAAGGTGTCTCTGGTAGATAGCAAACTGCTGTTAATTGGTTGCTTACCCATTTATGCTACCCAGACTCTACCATACATCCTTAAGAGGGCATATGATCTTTCATTGTGACAGTTGTTGCAATATGCAGCAAATGGTATCAGCTGAACGATTCTCAGTGTCGTCTTAATGAAGCAACCCTGTTTTCTTTAAGGAGGCCATAAAATGCTCAGCCTAATAAGTTTGTTTCAAATTGAGCCACCAAAATGAGAGAGGTTCTGCAATTCTGCCTTTTGAGGGTGATAATTACAAGTATTTCTCATTTTTAAGACTCTTCGCTCTTCTACTCACCATGCACTCTCCAAGATTTCTGAATTTACAGAGCAGTGACAACTTCCCCATTAAGAAACATATGCCCATAAATCAAGGCAGCAATGGGAGTTCTTGGTGTTTTAATGCATTTACAGTAATAACATTTCGTAAATGTAATTTAAAAATGCAATTTTCAGCTCCTTAAATTAGTTAGTGTACAGCATGGCTTCTGACAGTATCTACGGGTTATTCTCAAATGATTATAATAGTGACAGTTCTTTCCACAAATTATATTACCTATAACAAATTCACAAGGGAATCAAACTTATGAAATACTTGTGTTGACCCTACGATTTCAGTATGTCTGAACACTGCTGATGAGACTGCAGGTGTGACTCAGTCCTGGAGTGGGTAAGACTAGGGACGCGGCTTTGGCATAAGCTTCTCACGCTCTTGAAAAAGCATTGCTTCAGTTTCACCCACCTCTGTGCAAGTGGCTTTTCAGTTACATAAACAATGAGCATGTTGGTCCCTGAGAGTGTTCATTTACAATACGAGTAAACAACTCCACCTGACTTTGACCTCTAAATGGTCTCTGCTAAGGAAAAGAAAGTCAGAATGTGGAGAATAATTCAAAATGGTAAACAGGAGCATATAGTTCTTTGCCCTCTGGGAGGCTTTGCATGATTTATTATACCTGGCTATAATAAATTTATTATAACTGGCTTACCTTCCTAATGATGTTGTGCTAAAATGGAATTAAAGAGAGCTCGGAATACCTGAGCAAGTGTATAACAAAATGCTAGAGTAGAAGAGTTGATGATTGCAAACACATTCTGTTAGAGAGAAGCTGACCTAGGATCCGTAATTTCTGGTAAGGACCCCCTCTAACAGGAATAATAAGCAGGGAAGTAATTAGACTTAGCTAAACAGACATATTTGACCTGTATCCATTAACTTCATTCAAATTCCATTCATAGAAGATGGACAGTGCTTAAGTCTCCTATATTGTTCACATTATAAGATAATACCAGTGAGTGAGATAACACAAAAAAACTTTAATTGACACCAACTAGAAGTTATTCTAATTATGATAAGGATCAGTTTGTTTTACAGAAACGTGTTCAACCATTTAAAGGGAAGTCCTTGTATTGAAAAGCTGAGATGAGTGGATTTATCACAAACGATGGGTGTGGCTGCTTGCATTTTTACAAAATACATAATTTCAAACACAAATCCATGCGGAATATGGAAACTATTTTAATCCTCTTCTTTAAGCACCATATTTAAAAGAATGTAGCTGCTTGGTTTGTTGTAAGTGACCCTCGGGGACTATTGGCTCCTTTTCCCAGGAACTGAAAGAGAAGATGGACGAGCTCCTGCCCTTGATCCCCGTGCTGGAACAGTACAAAACCGACGCCAAGCTAATCACCCACTTCAAGGAGGAGATTCGGAATCTGTCAGCTGTGCTCACTGGGATTCAGGAGGAAATTGGTGCCTACGATTACGAGGAGCTGCATCAAAGGGTGCTGAGCTTAGAAACCAGACTTCGTGATTGCATGAAAAAGCTAAGTAAGTAAAACAGTCTCATTTGTTTTTCTCAGTTGTCTTCTTACAGAGTTTCAATGAAAACTGCATGCTAATGATTTTTTAAACAGTCATAAAGTACTTTATTGTAGGGAAACTGCTTTTTTCTAAGTGGAAAGGATTTCTGAATTATTTTATTATTTGATGAACTGATTGCTGATTTCAGAACACCATGTTACCGTTTGCAGAGTTGAAATAAATAATCTGGCACAAACAGCTACACTAATGGAAATAAATTTTGTCAAACATACATCGTCCATGCTACTCAGCCATTGTTTGTCTAGGAAAGAGGGGTGGGAACTTTGATAGCAGGGAAAGCCAGGGGAAATCACCCTGGGACCAAAAGTGAAGCAATGACTAAGGCCAAGCCAAACTGCTACTGCCCTGTGCAAAGTCACCATCAGCTCTTCCGATAGCCAACCACCGGTTGGTTGCCACCAAACTGATTTCAACTCATGGCAACACTGAGTGTATCAGACAGACAGGGAGACTAGAGGAACAGAGAGGAAAGTTACTCTAACAGATTTGCCCACTCTGCAAAGGCCAAGCACATTACTGTAGGTCTTGCCTTCTGAAAGGTTTAGTTCAAGCTGATCTAAGTTGACACACTGTTCGACTGCATCTTGAGATAATTCCTCAATCGAGGTCATCGTGGCACAAGTTTGCAACTTAAATACAAAATAACACTGAGTTTCTCTTAAAGGTGATTTAAAAATATGGAAATAGATACTGGTGATGGTGGCATGCATGGTGAATATAATTAACAACAGTGGATTGTAGAGATAATAAGGATTGGAGTGAAAAATGAATTTTTTAATTTATATACAATGGGGCTCCAAAAGGCTCATGAGGAAATGGAATTAAAAGACAATGGAACATTTTTGAAAACAGTTTGAAGTCCCTTCGTGTGTGTGCATACACATACATGTGTGTTTAAACATACACACATACACATCAAACGTACTGCCATCGAATTGATTTTGACCCATAATAACCCTATAGGACAGTATAGAATTACCCTTGTGATTTTGAGACACTAAATCTTTATGGGAGTAATAAGTCCCATCTTGGTCTTCCACAGCAGTTGGTGATTTTGAACTGCTAACCTAGCAGATCACAGACCAACACACAACCCCTTTGCCACCAGGGCTCCTATACCTATGCATACATATACATATATAATTACCTCTAACAGCTGGAAACTATACATCATTAAAAACTTGATAGAGAAGAAAACTAATGTTTTCCTCCAGTTGAAAAATAGTAAAATTACACCCTTTTAAAGGTAGATATTTTGTGAAATTCAGAAAAACAAAGCAGCCCTCTTGAGTTCTGGCTCTCAGTTTCACTGTATGAGTAACTATAGATACATGTATATCTATATATGTCTGTCTGTCTGCCTGCCTATCTATTTGTCAATCCCTTTTACCACACACACAAATGATGTTTATGAATTGAATCAGGATTGATGTAATTCAGGGATAGGACTTTACTTGTCGACATGACATGATGTGATAAGAAGGGCAATTCAATAATCATAGAAACCATTTTCTCTAAGTAAAGAAAATGTATGTCATCTGTAGTAGACATTTTTGAAAGAGGAATCTAAGATAATCATTCATTTCTAGTGAATAAATCTTTAATAAATAAATGTAAGTTGTAAAGTGACATTAGAAAGAAATTTTAAAAGCAATATGGAGGTTATTTATTTTACAAATGCAAGTGATAAAACAGGGCTAAATACAAAAATGCCACATCCATTTATCACCGATTCAAAACAATGTGGGGAACCATCACATCAGGAGCCCCACTGCAGGCACTTGCAGAATTTCCCAGAGAACTAAACAAAATCAATAAGAAAAAAAAATGTCATAAAGCTTAAGGCCAAACACATGTAGAGGAATTTCATTCCTCATTAAATAAGATCCACACTTTTTTCATCTCTAGTTGTTATCCCAGACTCAGAAAACCCCAAGGGAGGTAAACTCTCAGCATACCTTAAACTGAAAGAACTCAAGAAATAATTCAAGCCTCAAGTTGTAGATTGAAAGATTCTTTGGGCAACATATTGAATTGTGCAAGAAGCAACAAAAGAAGATGGAAAGAATACAGAGATTAACTGTGCCAAAAGTAGTCTATATGCAATTATTTCCAGAGGTAACAACAACAAATGATGGTACAGAAGGAAGAAGTCTAGGCTACACTGAAAGCATTGGCCAAAAACAAGGCTCTAGGAATTCATGGAAAAGCAAATGAAATATTTCAACAAGCTGATGAAGCACGCACTCATCTATGAGAGGAAAATAGATGACAGCTACTTGGTCAACTGACTGGAAGAGATGCATGTTTGTACCCATTCCGAAGAACAGTGAGGCAGCAGGATGCTCAAATTATAGACAAATATTATTGATATTATTGATGCAAGTACAATTTTACTGAAGACAATATAGCAATTGTAGCAGTATACAGGCAGGTCTCTGTTAGAGGTTCAGGCCAGATTCAGAAGAGGACATGGGACAAGGGATATCATTGCTGATGCCTGTGGATCTTGGATGAAAACAGAGAGTACCAGAAAGAGGTTCCTTTGTGTGGTATTGCCTATGCAAAGGCATTCAACTGTGTGGATCATAGCAAACTATGGATATCCTTGAGAAGAATGGGAATTCCAGATCACTTGATTGTGCTCCTGCAGAGCCTGTATGTGAGTCAGAAGCAGTTCTAGGAATAGAACAAAGGAATATTTCATGGTTTACAACCAGGAAAGGTGTGTGCCATTGTGAAATCCTCTCACCACATTCATTTAGTCTGTATGGTAAGCAGATAATTAGAGAAACTAGATTATATGAAGAAGAATGTGGGGTCAGGACTAGAGGAAGGCTTGTTAACAACTTGTAATATGCAAATGAAACAACCTTGCTTGCTGAAAGTAAGGAGGACTTGAAGCACGTGCTGATGATGATCAAGGATAGTAGCCTTCACCATGGATTGCAACTCAATGTAAGGAAGATTAAAATCCTCACAACAGGATCAATAGAAAATACTATGACAAATGGAGAAAAGATTGACATTATAAAGGATTTTTTATCCATAGTCACTGCTCCTAAAAACAGCATTCTAATGTTCAAATGATGCATTGCATTTGGTAAATTGAGCGCAGGGCCTCTTTAAAGTCCTGAAAAGCAAGAAGGTTACTTTGAGGTCTAGAGCATGCTTGAACCAAGTCATGATATTTTCAATTGCTTCATATGCATGTGAAATTTGGACATTGCATAAGGGAGACCAAAGATCAAATGCATTTGAATTGTGGTGCTGACAAAGAATAGTCCAAGTACCACGGACTGCCAAAAGGACAAACAGATATGTCTTGGAAGAAGAGCTAAAATGCTCCTTGGAGACATGGATGATGAGACATGGTCTAATGGACTTTGCACGTGCTGTCAGGGAATACCAGGGCCTGGAGGACATCAGGCTTAGTAAAATAGAGGGGCAGCGAAAAAGAGGCAGGCCCTCCATACAATGCACTGACACTGGTCTCCACCTCCGCACAATTGTGAGGATGACGCAGGGCTCAGTGGTGTTTCAGTTGTGTACAGGGTTGCTATGAGGGAGAACAGAGTTGAAGCCACATACCACATCCCACAGTTGTTATCCTAAGACTCACCTCTAGATTCCGTGCCTCCAGTTCCTGGGCCTCTCCCATCCATTGGCCCTCCTTCTACAGCAACAACAACAGCAAAGTCCCTACTAAGTCAGGACAGGTAGGAAGATGGCCCCAGCCAGTAAAGGCATTAAGTCTTAATTTGTAGCTGTTATAGTTTTGGGAATTAGCACTTGAAAAGCACATAGGATTTTTATCAATTTAACTGTGAATTTTATTTCAATATATATATATATATTGGCTTTATTTAGCTGGCAATAGTTTCCACGGTTACTAGGTTGTATCCCCCTCTCATATCTTTCGTAGCCCCGCACTTTTTGATTCTTGCCTAATCCACAGATACCACATAATTGCTCCCACGTGCCTTCTTCCGATATGGAAAACATATCGGGACAAACATCTAAGTGAATACAATGCATTATTTTCTTTCTTACTGAATCATGAGTAGGGATGGATTTAGGTCTTCTAGTAATGATCCACAACATATCAACTGCATTAATTAATACATTAATTTTTGTCTTGATGAAGCAAAAGCTTAAAGGACAGTAGTGAACAAAAATACCGAAGGGCAATAAAACCGGCATCTAACTTGCGTAGGTGATGATATGGTTGCTGTTGGAGTTTCACGGTGTGACTGCTGCTGCTGTTAGCTGCTACACAGTCGCTCCTGAGAATATAAACTGTAAATAGTTCTCTCTCACGTGTTGTAACCTCGCTCCTTCATTATCAGCAGCCCTCCCTTAACTGTTTACTTATTCCAGCAGTCAAGGTCACAACAAATCTTAATTCGTCGATCAATTTTGACCTACAAAATCGATACTTTTCTCTATCATATGATATTTATGCTAATCAATTAAAACTGCTTACTAAGCATCTTCTGAGTAGACTGAATATTTAGCAACTGGGCACATCCCTCCAATACTGTGTGGAAAACATGTGAATATATGCAGTCCTAATAAAATGACACATAAATCTACATGGTCCATGAAGTAATAAATAAATGAATTGCAATATTTACATTTTTTAAAAATCACTATTCCAATTTGAAAGAAAATTACTGATAAGATTGTACGGTTGCAGAAGAAATCAAATAAGTAATTTTGAGTATGATACTAGGAAACCATGTGATTAACATTTTACAAAATCTTCCTTCCTGGGAATTGGTATATCTTGCACCAAATATCCTTAAGAACACTTTAAACCGCATGCTTAATATTATTACATAAATGAGTACCCTCATGTCAGCATATTATGGGTTCATGTAAGAAAACAGATGTCAATGGACATCAGGACCACTGCTAGGAACCTGTGGCTGTTGGGCTGCTTC